TTTTTTTTTTTTTTTTTTTTTTTTTTTTTTTTTTTTTTTTTTTTTTTTCTCTCATGAGTATACGCTTACCTGACGTAATGCCAGTGAGGCGGCACTCCGAGCTCCGGACAGCCGGGATTCTCGTACATGCTGATGTAGTCCAGAGGATCGGGACCACCCAACCTGCGACATGTGCATATATATATATATATATAGATGTATGTAGAACGTTGTACATGCATGCATGTATAAAAGAGTAGACGCACGTGCGCCGACGAATATATATATATATATATAGATGTATGTAGAACGTTGTACATGCATGCATGTATAAAAGAGTAGACGCACGTGCGCCGACGACCACCCCCGATGATGATTACAGAGAGAGAGAGAGAGAGAGGGATTATTTTCATCTTTCATTCGCAACGCGCGTGTCTTATCTGGGCTTTAAAAAATATATATATGCACGCGCCCGACGTGTGTGTGTTGTGTATGCGTATAATGGGTCATTATAAATGCAAATGAAGAAAAACTACATAGGTTTTTTTATAGGTATACATGTATGGGTACGACGACCCTTTAGCTGAATAACAATGACGAATTGAAAAATGATCATCGATCGTGACGTTTAAACGTGTACGTTGCTCTTATAATATTTATACAACGAGGAGGACAAGCAAGTAAGAAAAATTTGTTTTTGTTTTTTTTTTCAAAAATGTTTTGCTCTAGCCCGTCACTCTCAAGGACGGAGTTAAGATGATTTAAAAACGGAGTCCCTCTTTATAGGGTGGTCGAGAAAAAAAAAAAAAAAAAATTCTACAGTATAAATATAAAAGTAAGTGTATGTAAATAAGAAATGATATACACCCACCAGTACTTAACAACAGCAGTCACGGTGAGCGGGTTGCTCTGCTCGGGATAAATTTCCCTGCAGAGCCTATGCAGAGCGTCCAACCCGAGTGCCCTGTGCGGGGCCAAGGTCGCTCCGTAGTTGTACCCCGCGGCATCGGCCGTCGCTGGATGCTGATGCTGGTGGTGGTGGTGATGGTGGTAGATCGGCTGCTGACCATCCTCGCGGTGGCACATCGTGCTGCCCCGGTACATTGGAGCCGGTGGCCACCACCTTGTTTATATATTTGTTTATTATCTTACTGCTGCTGATGCTCTCTCTCTCTCTCTCTCTCCCTGATGTGTGATTGTGGCTTGAGAATAAAGGCGCCAGGATATTCTTGTAACAGCCAGCTGATGCTTTATAACCTGCAATGGTGCTCTCTTGTTCACGACAATATCGCGCACAACCACTGAAAAGGAGCTTCCGTCCTCAACTGACACAACAGGACTTTTCGGAGCTCTCGGAGCAGGCGGAGCTCTCTTTTCTTGCGCTCTCGTTTTCTCTCTCTCTCTCTCTCTCTTCTTTGTAAGAAACGGAGAGAAGGGGAAGCTACATGATTGGTCCATTCCGTTGAATCAAAGATACTTGTTCTCTCTCTTTCCGTGTGAAAAAAGAAATAACTTGTGCTCCTGATAATTGTTGTAACAGGTGTTTTTGTTTATCCGCGATGATTACAAGTGCGACAGCTACTCTCACTAACAGCAGGCATTCACTCGTTATCAGCTGATGGTTTAAAAAGTACATTTGTACACCTATACTTGCTGTTTTGACGTTGTTGTTGTTGTTGTTTTTTTTTTTTTTTTTTTTTTTTTTCTTTCGAAGGAGAAAGGCGAAACTGTCACGTTTGCGTGAATGCATCTGCAGGGGACGACGACGCTTTTTTTCCCACTCCCCTTGATTGACGAGAATAGACAGGATGGAAACAAAAAATAAAAATCCGTCTCGTTATCCGAAGTGTATGTATTATATATATACGTGGAGCCTGGACAAAAGGGGGGTAAGTGGAGGTATATATGGATTGGCTTTGTGTGCACGAAAATAGCCGTTTTTGTTTTGTTTTGCGCGACGCTAGTTTTGTAAACCAGTTTCTGTTGATGAAGCGCGTCTACGTTTTTAAGCAGGCGATGAAAAATTAGCGACGTGTCCATGCATTTAAACTGTTGGCGTTTAATATCTTATTACATATACATGTATTCCATCTCGTGTAAGCATATTATGAGCGTTGCGGGTCGTACAGCTGTTTGGGAAAAAGTGTATTTACATACGAGTAAAGTAATGTTTTTTTTTTTTTTTTTTTTTTTTTTTCTCTCATGAGTATACGCTTACCTGACGTAATGCCAGTGAGGCGGCACTCCGAGCTCCGGACAGCCGGGATTCTCGTACATGCTGATGTAGTCCAGAGGATCGGGACCACCCAACCTGCGACATGTGCATATATATATATATATATAGATGTATGTAGAACGTTGTACATGCATGCATGTATAAAAGAGTAGACGCACGTGCGCCGACGACCACCCCCGATGATGATTACAGAGAGAGAGAGAGAGAGAGGGATTATTTTCATCTTTCATTCGCAACGCGCGTGTCTTATCTGGGCTTTAAAAAATATATATATGCACGCGCCCGACGTGTGTGTGTTGTGTATGCGTATAATGGGTCATTATAAATGCAAATGAAGAAAAACTACATAGGTTTTTTTATAGGTATACATGTATGGGTACGACGACCCTTTAGCTGAATAACAATGACGAATTGAAAAATGATCATCGATCGTGACGTTTAAACGTGTACGTTGCTCTTATAATATTTATACAACGAGGAGGACAAGCAAGTAAGAAAAATTTGTTTTTGTTTTTTTTTTCAAAAATGTTTTGCTCTAGCCCGTCACTCTCAAGGACGGAGTTAAGATGATTTAAAAACGGAGTCCCTCTTTATAGGGTGGTCGAGAAAAAAAAAAAAAAAAAAAATTCTACAGTATAAATATAAAAGTAAGTGTATGTAAATAAGAAATGATATACACCCACCAGTACTTAACAACAGCAGTCACGGTGAGCGGGTTGCTCTGCTCGGGATAAATTTCCCTGCAGAGCCTATGCAGAGCGTCCAACCCGAGTGCCCTGTGCGGGGCCAAGGTCGCTCCGTAGTTGTACCCCGCGGCATCGGCCGTCGCTGGATGCTGATGCTGGTGGTGGTGGTGATGGTGGTAGATCGGCTGCTGACCATCCTCGCGGTGGCACATCGTGCTGCCCCGGTACATTGGAGCCGGTGGCCACCACCTTGTTTATATATTTGTTTATTATCTTACTGCTGCTGATGCTCTCTCTCTCTCTCTCTCTCCCTGATGTGTGATTGTGGCTTGAGAATAAAGGCGCCAGGATATTCTTGTAACAGCCAGCTGATGCTTTATAACCTGCAATGGTGCTCTCTTGTTCACGACAATATCGCGCACAACCACTGAAAAGGAGCTTCCGTCCTCAACTGACACAACAGGACTTTTCGGAGCTCTCGGAGCAGGCGGAGCTCTCTTTTCTTGCGCTCTCGTTTTCTCTCTCTCTCTCTCTCTCTTCTTTGTAAGAAACGGAGAGAAGGGGAAGCTACATGATTGGTCCATTCCGTTGAATCAAAGATACTTGTTCTCTCTCTTTCCGTGTGAAAAAAGAAATAACTTGTGCTCCTGATAATTGTTGTAACAGGTGTTTTTGTTTATCCGCGATGATTACAAGTGCGACAGCTACTCTCACTAACAGCAGGCATTCACTCGTTATCAGCTGATGGTTTAAAAAGTACATTTGTACACCTATACTTGCTGTTTTGACGTTGTTGTTGTTGTTGTTTTTTTTTTTTTTTTTTTTTTGTCAACTCTATGTGTGACTTGTTTGAGAATAAGAATCAATCTTTAGTTGAAAGTGATGGAAAATTTTGATTAACCACGTAGCTTATATTTGTGAATCAATCAACTACCGTCTATTTTACAGGTTAAATCCCAAGGTGTGTTTTGACTGAAATTATGATGAAGACTCATTGGATAAGATGAAGTTCTGGTTGATGGTGATTTTGTTGGGGCTGTCAAGGCTTGGAGACTGTTACAATGATATACTTCCAAAGAATACTAGCTTGGAGCCTCAAAGCATATACAGGCCTGACGGTCCCCTGGTTCTCTGCAAATTTCTGCAAGTAGAATTTTTGTTTTTATTCAAATTATCAGATATATCACTAATTATTGTTATTATTTTTTTTGTTTTTCCTTTAGGCCTAAGGAATTCATAGAATGCATAGAACCGCAGGACCACAAAGGAAACAAAACAGCCAAAGAAGATAATCAGGGCGTGGGCTGTGTAAAGTTTGGTGGTTCAAGATACGAAGATGTAGAAAAGACTAAGGTTCGATGTACAGTTTTGCCAGATATTGAATGTCATGGTGAAAAAACATTCATTAGAGACGGCATACCATGCATTAAATACAGCGGACATTACTTTACGATCACACTGCTGTACAGCATTCTGTTGGGATTTCTCGGTATGGATCGTTTTTGTCTTGGACAAACTGGTACCGCAGTTGGCAAACTGTTAACATTGGGTGGCATTGGAGTATGGTGGGTTGTAGATGTTATCCTTTTGGTTACAAATTCACTGCAGCCTGAGGATGGTAGCAATTGGAATCCTTACGTTTGACAATGTGTCAGTTCATTAAAGACTATGGCTTTTTTTGTTTTCTTAATAAATAGCAGCGATTTTTATTATACCGTATCTTTACAAAACTTGGTTTTATTTGTGCAATCTTGTGTTGAAACGTTGAATGTCTTGCACATGGGTGATTCTTGACATTTTTGTAAAAAATTTACATCTTTGTACATAAATACAGAAAATTTTTAAAAAATATTTTCAAACTCTTGACTTATCCCTACAAAAGGGCACAAGAATTACCATTGATTTAGTATGTTTGTTTTCATAATTACACATTCTCTACTCCATTTACAGTTCATAATCATCTGGGTGATAAAGTTCACTTATAAATCTGTAAATATAAGATGGAGCATTTCCTCCACTGAAATAAAAAAAAAGAAAGGTTTTATTAATGCTAATACGGAATTTGGGGTGAAAAAAAAAGTTTAACTTACTTATTCGAGATGAAAAGAGTAACAAGATTTGGTGGGACATAATCAAATACAGGATTATGCGACTGGCACTTTTCCAGAAGCGCGGTGTTATTTCCACTAATAACGCCTTGCAGAGGCGATACGTGCTTATTGAAGGCATTCTGTTCGTAAGAGCATAAATAAAGGGGAGACAATTTGTACAGGGGTAAAAGAACCCAAACCGGTACGGAAAAGTGTTTAGCTGCTTGGGCAACAATATGCGAGCCAGAAATTGCTTTGAGACCACCATTGGCCATTACTGTGTGCGTGCCAATGATAACTTTGTTGACTCGCGACATCATCGCGAATATCGCCGCATCCGAGATCAGAGTCGTTTTTATTTGTGCCTTGGCTAAACTTGAGGCAGTTTCGTGACCCTAAAAATTTAAAGTACGTTAATGAATTAATTAATTTATGTATACTGATAATTTATGTGATGAAAAAGCACAAACAGTACATTCAAAAACGGAGCAGCTTCAGCAACAATGACTTCGATAGACCTCGTTTCAGCTGCTTTTTTGAGATACTGCTCAACTAAATTAGATCTACCTATCGTTAAGATAATTTCGTTGTTGTGCAAATTTTCTGAAGCTTGATCCACGATATTTTCAGTACTGTAAAAGATAAAAGTTTCAAACCATTCCCACAAGCAGTGATAATAATTTACACATGATTCCATACCATGTTTCCAACTCTGCTTCAAACTCGTTGATGTGCTGAATCAAAGCTGATTTAAGAGATGGAATGGAAATATTGAAATCTGTGTCTTCAACGCCTTCAAACGTGAGTATTTTGTGCAACGATTCTTGAGGTACTGCCTCATCTGTTTTACATTTCAATTCGGAAGCCGTTACTTTTTTCAGCTCAGAATATTCTTCCCTAATTATCTGAAGTATCCTGCGCACCATATTGCCAATAGACTCCTCCAAAGGTGTAGCCTCGATCAAGTGTTTTCCATTAAAAATTATAACGTCCATTAATTCTCTGAAAACACACAAATCATGTTAAATTCAGATAAAACAAAACCTTATCTTAACCATAAATTAAAATGTTAATTTGTAACTTACCTTGCTGTATTCCATTCTGTATTTGACACAATGTCTTTTAATACTGAAACAGTCGCAGTAACGATGTTGAAAGTGCCTTTAATGTCACTGCAGGAGTAAAAAAAAAAAACCTTGTTTTATTAACAATATTCACTGATTATTGTAAAAACCAACCAATGTTGCAAAATATGTATTTTCAAAAAAATCATACCCATAGCTGATGTTCCTGGCAAGATCCAACACGCCCTCGTTTATCTTATTATCCGGAGACAAGACCATTTTTTTGATAAAAAACTTTTTTTACTAAATAAATAAAATGACCTATTTATACTATGTATATATTTATTTTACAAGTCAACTCAACTCTGTATGTGCATGTATTTGTACATACTATGTAATATGTATATACACAAATATATACCACATTACCACATGGTCACGTTAGGCTAGTTTTAGTTATAGCTTCGATGAAATGCTGCATTTGCGGAATAAGCAGCCTCTGATTTTATCACTCTGGTAAAGAGAGCACGATGTACGATGTACTTACGTGAAGTTATATGTATTAATTATAGTAATTACTTTTAAGTAGTGCCATTACTGCCATATGGTCAATTTTATTAAACCATACAAGTAGAATATTTATACTTTTAGAGATCGATTTTCGGACAAAAGATCGATTTTACAGTTGCCGCAAATAGCACAGACAACGTTGCCTTTTTTATTTATAACTAGGATATTATTTGTGGCTGGTTTATGATAGATTAAATGTTTCTTCTGTAAAAAGTATTAATTATTTGGATCAGCGCCATCTATTGGTCTTAATTTTTTCGCGAAAAGTGGCTCTTAAAATTCTGAATCAGAGCTTCAGGGCCTAGAGCTATTTTATTAATTATAAACCAGCCGCAACTAATCCAATAGATAGACAACTAAAGGTTGACACTTTTTGTGCTGTTTGTGGCAATTTTACAAACGATCTTTTATCCGAAAATCAATTTCTAAGAGTATAAATATTCTACTTGTATCTTGTATCCTTGTTACGTGAAGGATGGTTTAATAAAATTGATGGGTGCGTTCCATAAGCTCCAGCAGTTAATCTTCAAGTATCTCGGTGTCCTAGATGACATTTAAGTGCAAGGGGAAAATAATGGCATGTTATCTCTCTCACACTAATAAGTTATCTGCACATCATCTAAATACTTAGATTAAACGGCCAGTGCTTACGGAACGCATCCCATGCGGTGTTGTTACTGTACGACGTACGTAACTTAACTGCTGGCAGCATTTACGGAATATAGCCATTATGTTTGTTGTCAATTTTCCCACGTGTACTTGTATTTACCTGTAAATGTTTTAACTATCATTTTTAAACATACTGATAAAGACAATTAAACAATTTAAAAGAGGCTCCTTTTTTTTTTCAATTACCGAGAGAAAAGTTAAGAGAAAAACATGTCAACGATTGGAAACGTCGTGAGTATTAATCAGTTTTGTCATCTTACCCAATAGTTTACTAAATTGGGCAATGTCAAATCCATAAATATTTCTTTGCAAGACACAATACATCATGTTTTATTAACAGAGTGCTGATCAACTGATTGCTGGCTCAAGTGTCTTGTCCAGACCAGCTGAAGAATTTGAAAATGACGTGAGTGGTCCTGTTGTTTTGATGATTTTATTTCTCAAATCAAGTGGTGATTTATTTAAATGTTATTTTCCAGCCAAGCATCGAAGCTATGTGGGCCATCAAGGCAATGGAACACGCAGAAATATATTTCAATGTAAGATTAATCAGTAATTCACGGCGATTTGAATTTAACAGATTAACTAAAGTTTTCATTTTTTTTTTTTATAGATATTGTGCTCCGTGGACCCAAAAATATTGAAACTCACGTCACATGACGATTTGATATACAAAACCTTCAGAGAAACCTTTCCAGATCTCAAAGTAGATGTCATAGATGAAAATGAACTAAAATCGCCAGAGGGTAAAGAGAAGTGGAGACCTTTTTGTGAAAAATTCAAAGACATGGTTGAGGACTACAGTTTTGGCACGTTACTTAGGGCAGACTGCAGTGGAGAATATTCGCCGGAAAATAGTATATTGACATCGAGAATACAATTTTTCGCTATTGAATTGGCGAGAAACCGAGAAGGTTTCAATGATCAGATAAGAAAAAACTTTAAACCGAGAAAACTCAAAGCTTCCTCATAGTATACACTTTTGTACGATGTACTGTATTATTCACTAAGACACGTCTTGACTTTTGCTAATTTTTTAAAAATAAACTTTAACATAAACGCTAATACTGTCTGAATAATTTAATGCACTAAAATAATTTTTGAGGGAATGAAACAGAGAATCCATTATTTTTAGAAAATAACTTTTAATAATTTACAAAAAAATACAGCATACAAGTGTCAGACGTTATTTTTTCTTGCCCAAACTCATGGCGATTAACGGATTAGCAGCTCGAGCTTGGTACTTGGACTTGGCTGCACTGGCACCGGAAGCGGCGGCTTCTCTGTCGAATTTTCGTTTTCTGCGTCCAATACCCATAATTGACCTGAGCGAAGGTGGAACCAAATAGTCCGGTACGTCTTTAAGATGCGGCTGAAGCCTAACTGTGTGCAGAGCTTTGTCTTGCCTCAGAGACTGAAGGTCTCTTGGATTGTCTTCAAAGTAGCTCTTGAGTTTCTCACAATTCAACACTTGCTGCTTTATTTCTTTGAGTCGGGCTTCACGAACTGCTATTCGAGTGACGGCTTTCCACGCGTCTTTTGCTCGATATCTATCATAAATCATTTGATACTTAGTAAAAAAGTGTCTATTAACTTGTAGTTTAGGATTGAGACATAAAAAATTAGACATACCTAAATCCGTCGACTTCCTTAAGTTTAAATTGATAAGTCTTGAAGAGATTGTCTTGATTGTACTGTTTCTTGATTTCTTCTTCAACGACTTCCATAGTTGGCCTTTCCCTAACTGATACAAAACTCAATGCTGTTCCTTCATTTTTTCCTCGTGCTGTGCGGCCGGTTCTGTGAATATACGCATTGATATCGAGAGGGAAGTCGAAATTTATCACGTTCGCGACGAATTGAAAATCTATTCCTCGTGAAACACCTGATTCTTTGTCTTTCCTGCGTTTTCCTATCTTCTCTTTTGGAACTTGAGGCTAAAACCAAAATGCATCATTGTATTTCATCTGAAAGGTAATTAGTGCTCATAATAATTCATTGTAAAAACTTGCCTCATCCAAAGCTTTTTCATCAGAGGCAATGATTATGTCATAGTTTCCACTGTTGAATTGTGTAACAGCCCTACATCTTGATTCAGCCGGCAATTCAGAGTTTAAAACACACGTGGAAATACCAAATTGTTCAAGAAATAGCTTCAGCTTGTAGCAGCGGTCCACGGTATTTACAAATATTATACTCTTTCCTCTGCAAAATATGCATTGAACAATTTCTTTGAAGTTTAAACTATCTGCATTTAAAAATTTAATTTATAAACAGTTACCTTATCAAGTGTAATTTCAATAGAGCATACAAGATTGCAGCTTTGTCGTTTTCTTCTGCTGATAGAGTATAATGGGTCAGCTGCGTCGGAGGCGCAAGAGCGGGTTCTTCCAATTTCAATATTGCTGGATTGTGCAGGACTAATTTTTTCAGAGACAACACGTCGTCCGACAATGTTGCGGAAGCTAAAATAGCTTGGTATACCGTAGGAAGGTAACTTAGTAAGGTTTTTACTTCGTCCTCATAGCCAAACGAGAACATCAAATCCGCCTCGTCGATGATCAAGGTCTCCAAGCTTTTTTTGACGTTTAAATTTTTTGCTTTCAAGTGTTGTAGGGCTCTTGCAGGGGTACCCACGACAACGTCTGGATTTTCAGCTAAAAGTGGCTTCTGGACAGACAACTCTACGTGAGGACTGATGTCAAGGCACTTGACTTCCCTGCTGCATTTTGTTGTGAGGCTGACGAATACCTCGTGGATCTGTTTGCAGAGTTCCTTACTAGGTGCCAATATCAGACCTGTCGTTTGTTGATGCTGTTGATTCTCTTTGCTGGATAAAATCTTTTGGATCAAGGGAATGGCAAACGCTCCGGTTTTTCCAGAGCCTGTTCTAGCTCTTACGAGTACATCCTTGCCGTCTAATATCAAGGGTATCGTCTTTTCTTGGATGAGTGTTGGTTCTACCCAACCTAGTTTGGCAATAGCCTGCAAAGAATCGTGAAAAATGCCTTTTTTAATGAATTTGTAATTTTATAAAATTGTAAAAAATGTTCTTAGCTCGTTTAACATTTTTTTGTTTCTAGTTTGTCTCTTAAACAATGAATTGTTTTTGTTTGGATAACCTCAAAACTTCGTATAATTGAATTTGGTTTTAACGAGTTGAATCACTTACTTTTAATATCCTGTCATCCAAACCAAGTTCATGGAATTGTACAATTTTATCGCCAGTTTCCTCACTTGGTTTTGAAGAACTCATTGTTTTATTTGGTTATTACAAAAATCACCGTGTCTGCAGATTATATACTGCACTGCACGTGTGTGTATGAATCAGAGCAGCCGACAAATTTGACAATAATGGGTGTTTTCCGCAATCGTCACCAGCAAGAAATTTAAGGATGCGCTCTACGTTACCGTCAGGTCGGTAAGTCAACTACCTTGAATTAAACTGGCGCTCTATTCCGTAATCTATGACCAGTTAAAACAGCAGACGACGTGAAAGTCGAGAAAAAAGAAGAGATTTCATCGCTGTTAACTGTCGTCTGCTGTTTTTACTGGCAAAATTACGGAACAGAAGGCCAGTTTAATTCAAGGTAGTTGGCTTACCGACCTGACGGTAACGTAGAGCGCAACCTTAAACTACTTGCTAGTGACGATTGCGGAGAACACCCAGAGTATAAAAGTAGCCGCAATAGGGGAGTAAGTACTTTTAATATCGAAAGATACACTCCCGAGTCCCTAAACTGATAAAAAAAATGATGCGTCATTGGTTTTAACCGCCATTTGATTGGCCTGCGATGTTTGACTTTACGAGAAAGTTCATAATACGTCTTGCCTTTTGCCGCATATATAGGTATACTACAGCGTTCTATTAGCATATGGTAACAGGTTACCTACATTATCAAAAGAAAGCCAACATACCATATTATTTATATATTAGAATTACTTGATTACCGACAACGGTTGGCCACAGCAGCATTGTAAATGCTGAAATGACGCTATAACCGTACCTCTGACCGCGTGGCGGCAATGAGTCCAATAATGCATGAATATCATAGATAAGTTTAGCTCTCGCAAGCGGCGAAAAAAAGGTTTAGTTAGTATAAATAGACGAATCAACTTTTTTTAGACAGAGATGTGTGCTCACTGGCTCTGACTCACCCACGTGTACGGCTCGGTTTGAATAGTTTTCTACTGTTGAAAGATGTGTAGTAGCTCACCGGGACCGTTCTCACACAGGTAAGTGAGGTAAGTAAAAGGTAAGTTGAACGTGGGTTGGCTTGCTGGTGAGTTCATATTTTTTTTTTTTTTTTTTTTTTTTTTTTTTTTTTTTTTTTTTTTTTTTTTTT